CACTGCCCTGACAGAGCCTTCCATGTCTCAAGTCTTCCACCTGTAAAATGGACATAATTCTACCACCCCACTTCAGAGCGGTCTAGCAGGCTCACTCGAATGATCTGCTTTGTAAGGGATGTTGAACTCTTCAGATGGCATATGCAAGACAGTGCTGACACAACGCTATAATTTTTTAAAGAGCTCTGCCCAGTAGAGAGTCGCCAGCACCAAGAGGTTAAGGACAAGCAGATCTCATGAGGGAAGTGAGTTTTTTTCACTCCAGTTCTGTGCTGTTGCATTCTGGTTTTGTTAAGGCTGGTGACAGACCCAAAATTCATCTGACCTTGGCTTTATCATCTGTCTGTTTGCACAGACTCTGGAATTCTCTTTGGCGCTATTTCCAAAACACATGCTTCAATACTCTTTGTAAATAAACACAAAGAAACCAACAAGCGTCAGTGCGTGTGTAGGAGGGAGGGAAGGAGCAAAGATGATGGCAGGGGAACAGCTTTTCATGGTCAGAGGAAGCAAGAACACATTTGAAAAATACCTCAGCAGAGTCCTTCAAAGTTCCTCAAGGGGACCTGGAAGTTCTGTGTGAGCCTTTTCTTCTATCACACACCAGTAAGCATTGCGGTCTCAGAGGATGGCTGGCAAGGACTGAAATTACATCAGTTCAGTCTGTGCCGCGTGTGTGGGGAAAGATCTGGCCTTGGATATTGTCCACCATCCCCGGCTAGCAAGAGATTACTTATTAGAAGCAATGCTGCTATAAGGCAAAGCAGGCCCTTCAATTGTTCTTCCATATCTACTAGGGCAGGGGCTGGGGAAGCTGAGGCCCAGGGGTCAGATGCAGCCCCCAAATTGCCTGGATGTGGCCTCCAAGGCTCAGGGCCCACACCAAGCTTTGGGGAGCCCACGCTGGCGCTCTAGATTCCCTGCAGGGCTGGAGCACATAAAATCTACTAGGCTGAGCCCCCCTAAGCTCTAGGATGCAAGGGGAATGTAAGGAATGTCTTTCTCTTCTCAGTCAGGAGCCACGCCAGTGAAGGGGTTGGTCTTGTTGGTTGATTTTGTTTTTTGCTTCTGTTGTGTGTGGCTCCCGACTGTGGGTACATCTCGACTACGTTCTTTTTTCGAAAGGAGATATGCAAATTTGGCACTTATTTGCATATCTTTCTTCTGATCGCTTTTGCGAAAGCGGTTTTTTTCGAAAGTGAAAGCAGTTTAGACAGGAGGGTTTCGAAAGAACCCCCCTTTTTCGAAAGCATCTTGTACACCTCATTTTTTAAGAAAGAAGGGTTCTTTTGAAAAAGGGGGTTCTTTCAGAAAAAAAACCCCTCCCGTCTAAACTGCTTTCACTTTTAAAAAAATGCTTTTGAAAAAGCGATCGGCAGAAGATATGCAAATTAGTGCCAAATTTGCATATCTCCTTTCAAAAGAAGAACATAGTCTAGATGTACCCTCTGTGGCCCACAACCCAAAAAAGGTTCCTCACCCCTGAGTATGGGCATGCAGAATACTTCATAACATAAATATCCTTTGGCACATCTAAGGTTATAGACCTTCTGCCAGATGAAACCGCACTAGACTCCCTCTTTTAGAGTGTGTTGCTTAGATGCTAAGGATCAAATGACAACAGCCTGTAATTTATCTGGCCTTCACGTCTGGCTTCAATGTGCATTTGTTTATTGAAAGTGTATAAAGTATTTAAGTAGCTCTCGATGTCCAGTGATAGTCACTTGCTAAAAATCAAACACAAATACACAAAAACCCATTACATGCTTGAGACCAAAAGGCAGTAAGTGAAGTAGCACAAGGATTTGGGGTCATTTGTAGGGAGGGCAGAACAAACAGGAAGCAGCTGAGATATGAATGAATGTCCTTGAAAAGCAATTATTGGTCACAGTTTTGGAAAATAAGCACTGTATATGCTTTTCTTTTGTTTTTAATATTTGTCTGGGTGGGAGATTGTCTATTAACTTCAGTTCACAACAACAAACAACAAAAGAACCAAGCAAAAATTATTTAAAAAAACAAAACTCCAACCTCTCTCTACCCACAAAATAGTAGGAGACAAGCCCATCCATGAATGAGAAATAAATCAGCTAGGAAACAGAGACCTCTCAACCCCACCACATACAAAACCAATTATTATAGGCTACTCTTCCTCTTCTCACATTTCTAGGGAGACCATATATGCTGGGGAAGAGGGGTCCTCTTCTCACATTTCTAGGGAGACCATATATGCCGGGGAAGAGGGGAAGAGAATAAGAGAATTCCTGAAACTTCACCACAATTTTAACAGATTTTTGTTTTGCAACTACACATTCTTTTCCACAGTGGGTTCCAATGTAAAGCTTTTACTGTAACCTCTGGGGAGCAGTCACTTCTGTGGATTCAGTAGAGAATGTGATGTCTTTTAGCTAATGGAGCAATGCTTCAAAGGCTTGGGGACAGATTCTTAGCTGGTGTAAATCAGCATAGTTCTGTTGTGGCTACGGCCCTCTGTGAATTACGCCATCTGAGAAAGTGGTCTAGTCTCACTCTAAAATAGCAAAATATCACATTTCAGTTGTAAATTTTGATTCCCTAGAATCATGGAGCTGCAAAAGGCCTCAGGAGGTCATCAAGTCCAGCCCCCTGCCCAAGGCAGGACCAATCCCCACTAAATAAACCCAGCCAGGGCTTTGTCAAGCCGAGACTTAAAAACCTCTAGGGATGGAGATTCCACCACCTCCCTAGGTAACGCATTCCAGTATTTCACCACCTTCCTAGTGAAATAGTTTTTCCTAATATCCAACCTAGACCTTTCCCACTGTAACTTGAGACCATTGCTCCTTGTTCTGCCATCCATCACTACTGTGAACAGCCTCTTTCCATCCTCTTTGTTACCTCCCTTCAGGAAGTTGAAGGCTGCTATCAAATCCCCCCTCACTCTTCTCCTCTGCAAACAAAACAAACACAAATCCTTCAGTCTCTCCTCATAGGTCATGCGCTCCAGCCCCCTAATCATTTTGGTTGCCCTCTGCTGGACCCTCTCCATGTGTCCACATCCTTTCTATAGTGGGGGTTCCAGAACTGGACGCAATACTCCAAATGTGGCCTCACCAGAGCCGAATAAAGGGGAATAATCACTTCTTTGGATCTGCTGGCAGTGCTCCTCCTAATGCACCCTAATATGCCATTAGCCTTCTTGGCTACAAGGGCACACTGTTGACTCAAATCCAGGTTCTCATCCACTGTAATCCACAGGTCCTTTCCTGACAAACTGCTAGCCTGTAACAATGCTTAGGATTCTTCCATCCCAAGTGCAGGACTCTATACTTGTCCTTGTTGAACCTCATCAGATTTCTTTTGACCCAATCCTATAATCTATCCAGGTCACTCTGGACCCTATCCCTGCCCTCCAGTGTATCTACCTCTCCCCCTAGCTTAGTGTCATCTGCGAGTTTGCTGAGGATGCAATCCATCCCCTCATCCAGGTCATTAATAAAGATGTTGAAAAAAACCGGTTCAAGAACAGATCCTTGGGGCACTCCTCTAGAAACCCCAACTGCCAACCTGACATCGAGCCGTTGATCACTACCCGTTGGGCCCGACAGTCTAGCCAGCTTTCTATCCATCTTACAGTCCATGTATCCAATCCATATTCCCTTAACTTGCTGGCAAGAATATTGTAGGAGACCATATCAAAAGCTTTGCTAAAGTCAAGGTATATCACATCCACTGACTTTCCCATATCCATAGAGCCAGTTACCTCATCATAGAAGCTAATCAGATTGGTCAGGCACGACTTGCCCTTTGTGAATCCATGTTGATTGTTCCTGATCACTTTCCCCTCTTCCAAGTGCTTCAAAATGGATTCCCTGAGGATCCCCTCCATGATTTTTCCAGGGACTGAGGTAAGTCTGAAGCTGCTTGATTGCTTTCCTCCCATTACGGCACTGATATGTGTCGCCATGGTGATTTTACAGGATAACTCTCTCCCACTGCCTTATGTGTGATTTCCCACGACAAGTGAGAACTCTGCACTTCCTCTATTTGTGTCAGTGTGTATGGCAAATGACAGTCATAAAGTATAGCGGCTAGTTATCATTGCCAGCCATAATAGTGACAACACTACCTCTCCGCTACTCTCCTGAAGTCACCAGAACTGTGACCCACAGCTGTTTCTGGAGGGACTACAACATGGAGACAGCAGCAAAGTGACTGATTTAGTGGGACAGCAGGCTGAACACAAACCACTCTGATTGCAAAGCACTGCTCTGGACTCATCAGCTAATTAACATCTAGGATTCTCCAGAAGATACCTCTTATTTGGGAGAGTTTGTCCTCTGTTGTTCTCAGAACAGTAACTTTACTGGGTGGGAAGCTGGTTTCTTGTTGCTCCTGGTGGAACAATCTCTGGGAGTAAACATGTTTTTGCCGTATATAGAATATAAAGGCTGGATTTTCGGCAGTGTTGTGCACTTCAGCTCATGGCCAATGGCTGGGTAAAGCTTAAGTCCTTGTGGGTATGTCTACACTACCCCGCTAGTTCGAACTAGCGGGGTAATGTAGGCATACCGCACTTGCAATTGAAGCCCAGGATTTGAATTTCCCGGGCTTCATTTGCATAAGCGGGGAGCCGCCATTTTTAA